TTTTTAGTGAAATAACCAAAAGGAAGCAACTTACACATTATCAATGGCTCTTACAACCCACGTAAATTACTAAAAGAGGATAAAATAAGCAAAAATAGCCATTACTGCGTTAGTAAAGCAGTAGAAATATAGTTATAAATACTGAAAAATTAGTCATTATTCGCACATTACATGCCGATTATTACTTAAATCTCGAACATTTTTACTTTTCCTAAAATCTTAGTAAATTTTTTTTAAATTTTGATTTCATTGAAATATTTTCGCTCATCTGGAGGCATGCAGCTTTAAAATATTTTATAGTGATATTATTATTTTGAAAACTGCTATGTATGCTAACACAAAAACAATCAATGTTGCGCTGCTAAAGTATTTAAAAATCTAAATTGGTACGGATTTTCCGATGTCTGGAACAATCAATTTCAATACTATCAAACTTTTTAATCAAAAGGTAATTGACTGCTTTTTGCAAATATTTTCAAGCAATATTTCAAACAGTCCATTGTCAAGTTATATACATGTATATGTACATTTGTATAACTCATTTGAAATAGCAAACTATCTCAAAATTATCAATAAGCTATAAAATCACTATCATTATTTCGATTCTAACACGATATTAACAAATAATTCTGAAATCAAGCTAAATTGTGCCATACTTGTTTCTGTACTTCAAGTCCATAGCTTTTATACTTTAGAAATAGCCCGATAAAACTAAGGTAAGAAAATCAACAAAGGACAATAACTCAAAAAATTAAGAAATGCAGAGTACCGGTTCTTGTGCACTGTACTTATTAATGAGATCTATCATCCTATGAGGTTTCAAGTCCATAGATTTTATACATTAGGAGCAATGGTCCTGATAAAAATAAAGAATGAAAATTAACAAAGGGCTATAACTAAAAAATTAAGAAGTGCAGAGTACCGGTTCTTATGCACTGCACTTCGGGTCATTATAAGAAACATGCATACCAAGTTTGAAGTCAATCCGACTTATAATGACTGACTTATGCTCCTGACAAGCTTAAGGGGACGCCGACAACAACGCCGACAACCCCTTTATGTCGCCCTTTTCAAGGCGAAAAAAGAACACAGATTATAAATTTGTTATACATTTTATTAACATAATAAAAACAGCCAAATTTACTGTTTTCCCTATTTCCTACAATATGATATGTCTTCTTTGGTTCCAAACGAACCAAATAAATATAATAATTCTGACAAATAACATGTGTGAGATTTATTTATGACTTAAAAAGATACGCAGCTCTGCATGTAACACAATTTTCAATATACTTGTATAATGACAGTGTTTTACACAGTTTAAAACAATAATTTTGATAATAAAAGCATAAGAAAGGTTAATACATGTGCAAATATCCTCATAAGAATTGTGAAGATAAGAAATCTGGTCTGTGTTGCTCTCTAAAGACGTTTTTGTGATTGGATAGCAAAGTTGCTGATTGAAAAGCACAGATACAAAGAGAAATTTGATTGGATAATATCATTTTGTAAACTGTAATCTGATTAGACAGCGGAACCCGCTGATAACAAAAATGTGAAATATGATTGGATAAAACTGCTACAATCAAAAACAACTTCAATGTAACGCTTCTCACAATAATGTCTTCAAAATCCATTGTTCGAGTATTAATTAGTTCTCTAATTAACAGATTAAAATCATTGATATTTATTGCGGATATAGAAGCATGCATAGAAATTTCAAAAAGAGATCAAAATTCCAACCACAACCTATGTAGAACAAGCAATTATCATAGTATTGCAAGCAATCCATAAGTCCCCTACCGGTTGGAACCCCATCAACATTCTGAAGGGCCAATAGCCATTCACTAATGTTCCAATTTTTCTATATTTTAAGTAAATTTGTTGGAAAAGTTCTTTAAAAGTGATCACAAGAAACAGTTTTTATGAACAGACAGACAGACGTACTGAAGGACACTCTAAAAATAATATTTGAAACATCCTGTTACCAAATATAAAACATTTTTAAAAGCAAAATGCTTAAAGAGGAAAAAGATAACTTTTTGAATTAAAGATGCAATTTCATAAAAAAATTTAAGCTCTTTTTGACTTATCACAAACAATGTTTATATTTGCCATGTTTTTAAGCCTATTTGTTGCAAGGCAACCAATATTTTTTTCAAAATAAGGGAGATCAGAAATAAGACATGCATAATCTCAAGACTGCCATCTACCCATTATCAAGTTTTCATAAAAAATATTTCCAGTACTTTTTGAGTTATCACTGGATTCAGAGTGCAAGTGTAAAATTTGCCATATTTTCAGTCTATGTCTTGCTCATAGCAACCAAATTTTCAACATAGGAAGAAAAGATAAAAAACGTGCATAATCTCCAGACTGGCCATCTTCCCATATTAAAGTTTCATAAAAATATTTCTATTAGCTTTTGCGTTAACACAGGATCCAGTTTATGTGTAAAAATTTGCCATATTTTCAGTCTATTTGTTGCCATAGCAACCAGAATTTTTCAACATACAGAAGAAAAGAAAAAGAACGTGCATAATCTTCCAGACTGCCATCTACCCATATTTCAAGTTTCATAAAAATATTTCCAGTACTTTTTTGTGTTATCACTGGATCCAGTTTATGTGTAAAATTTGCCATATTTTAAGCCTATTTGTTGCCATAGCAACCAGAATTTTCAACATAGGAAGAAAAGAAAAAGACGTGCATAATCTCCATACTGCCATCTATCCATATATCAAGTTTCATAAAAATATTTACAGTACTTTTCAAGTTATCGCGGGATCCAGTTTTGTAGACGGACGGACTGACGGACGGACAGACAGACGGACGGAGGGTAAACCTAAAGTCCCCTCTGGTAAACCGGTAGGGGACTAAAAACACTTGAATTCTTGTATGAATTTTTCAAAATATACAACAGTTCCTTTCAAATCATGTATTGATTTTTACTTCAAGGTACAGTCAACAAACGCTAATTAATCAAAATGTTGTAATTTTCACCATCAAATGTTAGTGTTGTTTAAGGTCAAGGTCATACTTCATTGTCTATAACTAGCTTATGCATAATGTAGGTAAGACTGTACATATACTAGCAGATAGAAAGACAGGGCCCAAAAATTAGTCCACTTGTCTTGATATGTGGGTATAAAAATCTGAACAACCTACTTGTTTTATATATATTACAGAGAACTATAAAAATGTATTCCCTTTAGAGATATTGGTACCTCAAATAAATGTAATAAACATGAGCTCAATAAAATGTATTTTCCATCAAGAAATGTGTACAAGTGTATTTAAAAAACAAAGAATATCAAAACAGAAAGTGAGCAGATATTGAATTTAAGGCAGCTATTGGAATGTGAGCTTTCTGATAAATTAGAAAAAAAAATATGGAAAATCTGAAATTTGTCACTTTACAATTGTGAGTTCTTTGATAATATTTAATTATGGACAATCCATAATCTGTCTCTTTAAAATTTCTTCACCTGAAGACAACCTGTTCTATTATCATACAATGCGGATAATGAAATCATTTTATATGCAAATTTTATTTCAAAATGTTATCTGAATGCCTAGTTAAGAAAATCTTCAGCTACAAACAATTAATTTATTGTAAATACCAGATTAATGCACAGGTATTGACAAATTAATCATTGGAAGAGGACCTCAGGTATGTGTATTATTTCAGACCCAAGGCGGTAGACACCTGGGAGCATATGTAACTTAGTTCAGATCATCCGTGGTTTTCTTTTCCAAAAGGGAGTGTATACAGAAAATAACTAGTGTAACACATGGCTAAGAATACAAATAAAACAAGTTTTTTGATATGTTTAAAAAAAATATTAACATTTGCATGATAAACAATGGTTAAAACATGTCAAAAAAATGGCATTAAATGGATAATATCAATTGACAGTATTGTGAAACATATTTACAAAACTTAGTTTTAAGCAAGAAATGAAATCTGTTTTGCTGTTTAAAAAATCACCTATATTGATTATTTTCCTAGTCTATATACAATAATTATTTTCATTATTTTATTATTCTATGACAGGTACAGTATATTACATATTTACAGGTAAATTTTACTCTCTGGATTTTTGTTACATTTGAACTCAAATGCTCAAGTTATAAAACTGACCCTTATCCCCATTTTTGGACAACAAATCTAATTAAAGAGAGTCAAATGTAAAATGATAATGTCAAAAGAATTTCATCTGATTATTTTTTTCCTTATGGATTAGTATTGTTATTACAGAAAAACAAACATTTCACAATTCCAAAATTTAGCAACAGTAACTTTACAGCATTGTAAAAAAATCTTTCCCCTCCAAATTTCTACGAAAACATAAAAAATTATAGCCTCGTAAAAAATTCAAGATATATTTCGGGTATACAATTACATGAATATAGAAAATCTGATATGTGTTGATAAATAAATTAACAAGATTTTATATCAAAAGAAACACCCAATCGCATTTGAGACAATTTTTAGAACAACCTTTCACATGTATATAATAATATTTTCATATTATGTAAAATATCTTTTATATTAATCTAAATCAGCAACTCATGCCAAATAAATAAATAATTGCAAATTTAAATGACCGGCTATCACATATTCAAAACTCTGGAATGGGTTACAATTATTGGAATGTATAATTTAGTCACAACCAAAGAATTTCTGAAATTTCAAGAGTCATTCCCCTTTCATTTAATGACAAATATTCCTACACAAACTCCTTACTAGATTCAAAAAGTACTCCAACATTTTTCTAATTTTCATACTCTGAAATATCTTGACGTACCACAGATTCACTTTTAGAAGAGAATGCCTCACAACTCAAACTAAAGCACCTAACTATCTGAAACTGGAGCACCTTACTGTCTGATAAATATAATATCATCTGATCCGAGATGATTGTAATTGCATATACTAGTAAAGTATGAAGTAAAATATACGTTGATCGCGTAAAGAGTAAATTTTATTCAATAACTATAATGTACTTCAGTAACAATGAGTCATACTGGCACTATTGGAACGTTTTAACACTGTATCTGTTATTAGTTTGATACTACACTTTTGGGGTTTTCGGCGTGGTCGGGAGACGCCTTGGTCCGTTAGCCATAGTTGGTGTGGTGCGACCACTTGGCGTTGGTGTTGTTCGACCGGTTGGCGTCTGACGACCAGATCTTGTTGGTGTAGCTTTGGGTGTGGAAGATAGTCGCGGTGTTGACAGTGATGATCTAGGTGGCGTCGGTGTAGTGGATCGCCCAAATGCAGTTGATGGCGTAGGTGTAGTGGAGCGCCCGAAAGGTTGACGTGGGCTCATATACCGTGGTGTACCCGTACTGGTTGAAGGTGTGCGTGGCTTTGTTGGAGTAATGTTTGATGATGAACTGCTTAGACGTTTTGAACGAGACAAACTTCCTGATGAACCTGATTAACAGAGAGAAAAAACAAGCTGTTTAGGAGGACTGATTTGCGAAATTTAACATATTTAATTTGCAATCAAAGAAATAAGAACAATAAAAAAAACAACAACATTTTATGTATTAATCGAGGAGAATATATATAATAAAAAGACAGGCATACATTTTTCCTATATAAAAATGCAGAGTATGAGAATGATCAAAAATATATTTATAATATATTCTATATTCTACATAACTATATTAATACATGCCTGCAATAAATCAAAACATTTAAAGACTAGCAAAAGTGCACTCGGCTAACTATAAATTGTCTTTTATATCCAGAAAGACACACAAAAAACTGTCCATTCTGCTGCTAAAGCAAAGTAAACATATATTTCTGGGACAAAAGCACATTCTTTGCCTATAAATCTATTTCTGAATTAATCAGTTTTCGGACACAAATTTACAGAGTCAAATATAAGACAACAAGGAACTAACCAATCACATGTCCTTAGTCAAAGTAAAAATTTGCAGATGAGAAAACAATATTAGAAAAAGAACGAAATGTTTTTCAAGTCACCTCAAAACATGATCTCTGATATGGTACTTTTGCATTAATTTCCTGTTTTCTTAAATTATAAAAAAAAAACAATTATTTTGTCAATATGTAAATTTATAATCTGTATGTGCTTAGGAACATTGGTACGAGATTGGTACGAGTGGTTTTTTGTTACCAATATGCACAAACTAAAATATATATCTTGCATCTCTTTGATGGTCAATGTCCCCCTCAGCTATAAAATTCCGTTCTGTTTTGATGGGCAATTTTCCCCCTCAGCTATAAAATTCCATTCTGTTTTGATGGGCAATTTTCCCCCACAGCGTTAAAATTTCATTCTGTTTTGATCTGCAATGTCCTCCCTCGGCGTTAAATTCTAATGCGTTTTGATCAGCAAACCCCTCCCACATTAAGATCTCATAGCCTATCAAATTAGCTAACAAACAAAACAGAAAAGAAACTACAAAAGTATTTGTCTCTATTTATGTCAATCCATTTTTTTTTTTAAATGTAAAGTTTTACTATTCCAAATTAATATGAACTAAGATAGTATGCAAAATAAGAAAACTGTTGTTGTCCCTCACCCCCTAACCGAATTTCGTAATTCTTTACAGTTATATACCTATTTCAACATAAACTTTTTAAAGAAAGTAACATATCAGAGAAAAGACTGAAAAGTTTAATGTTAGCAAACTGGTGAGGAATTTCACAACGCTTGTTAATAAATTTAAAACACAACAGTTTCAGATAAAAAAAACTGAAGAAATTTTCCATCATTATGAGTAAAACAATGGGCGTTTTATAAACAATGGGCGTTTTATATCATTTTTCAAAAATATTTCAAAATTTATTATTTTTAACAAGAGCCTAAGAAAACAAACACTTTCTGATTATAATATCCCAAATGTTTCTGTCTAAATGTGTGTAAATTTGAAAAAGTGGATGAAAACATTTAAGAACTATATACATTTTATACTAAGTGATATTTCCAGATCTTATATAGGATGTTTTTGCTTAGAACCATTGCATTTATATATCTAAGAGAATATTCAACTAAAACTAGAAGCCAGAGTGCATTATAATATTTTATGACATTATGAAAAAAAAATGTGATATACAAACAAGTTAATATTCTGTATATACATGTAATATAATTATAAAATTTATATATCATAAAATTTAGAAATTATTTTTATGTTTCCCACTCTATCATTAACACACCTACCTTTTACTATGTTGTGGAAAGGCTTGCCTTGAAACTAATATACTTGACTGGAAACTAAACTAAATATACTTGCCTTTTACATTTCAATTATCAGTGTTTATAATAATGCCAACAGGCTCTGTGTGAGTCCAGTTTTCACATCTGTGTGTTCAGGCTGGCTGATTAAGTGTAAGAGTAAACTGCCTAATTCAAGCATTTTGATATAGAAATCTGGTGGTGGTGAATTTACAAGAACACAGTTCAGCCACCGCATCATTCCTGGGCAATCTGTCAAGCAGTTTACCAGTACTAGTTCTTAACTTTCGCTAGGAACTGAAACTTCTGTACAATGCCAGAGCAGAGGTTCAGTGCGAATGACCGTAGAAAGGATTTCATGATCAATCACAATAAAAGTGTCCTGCTACGTCTGGGAATCAGACTCGGGTTGCCTGATTCATAGTGCAACGCTCTACCTATTGAGCTAACTGGACAACTTAATTTTATCGAAATCCTTTAAAATTTGACATATATAAACAGTCCATTACACAGTAACATTCCTAATCTGTGTTCATTATGAATAATTTCTGACAGGATAAAAGTTATAAAACAATAAAAGTTTTGGTCCATGATTTGACCAACGTACCAAAATCAGGATGTTTTCGTAATGAATTCACAAATTTACTGTTTGAATTTCCGGACAGGTTTACCATTGAGGTCGTCATCTGCTTACTACGTCTAAGTGAACTGTCTCCCGAACTTCCCGCTATAAATAAAATATGGTGATCTCGTGCTATGAACATGGTTCTATATATAGAGTGACAACAAACTGGAAACGTGATCTGAGTAAACTGTTTGATATGATAATTATACATGTATAATATACTTAATAGTTCAGTATATGTAGAATAAAAGTGAAGCAATCTCGTATTATCTCCCTTATTTATGATGTCATGGCACCAAACTAGTGTGAACACTGTTTTTTTCAAGCAGTTAAATAGATTCAAGACAATCCAATCTCTCTTTTTTTTTACATTATGTCACATCACTATTACACAACAGCTCTTACAGATTACTTTTAATTTTTAAGCTGTGTTAGGAGGCGGAACTCCAGTGATCGTATACACATTTTGTTTCCGCCACCAGCGCACCCTCGTGTAAAACCACCAGTCATTTGTAAGCCTGACTTTGATGGCTTTCTCATTTGAAGGAATTTTATGTCTCTGACTTTAATAAAACGTGAACCCACATTGGTGACGCCAGAAGAGAAATGTGATTCGAAGTAATCTGCATAAACCTTTCAAACCAATGATGCGCCCTTGATCAACTTAACAAAACATACCTTTACCATCCAATTAAATATGGAAATTTAAAGTTTGGTTATACCATAAGCTACAGCAATACATAAGTCTGTGCCATGACAACTATTACTGTACTATTGTATTGTGACTTTTCTCTCTCTCATTCTCTCACACACAAAACAGTATTGTATTTTTTAGTTAAAAATAAAATGCTTTACGGTAATCTAAAAATATTTTTTTTAAATATCAGTGAGCAGTCTATGTTGAACACTAAAAGCATCTCTCAATTTTTAACATTTACATTAAGAAAGCAAACTATAATTATAATATCTATATTTATATCTTTTTCCTAAGTTTGTGATGTAAACATTCTAAACTATATATAGTGTTGTCTTACGAGGTGACCTTAATCAAACTTATTATAATGTTAAAGTTTAGAGTTTTATTTCACTTGCAGTAACTCTTCAATAAATATTATGGTGGCTTCAAATTTTTAAAGCAACAGTCCTGATTGGTTTTTTATGTGAGTTAAATGTGTTTTTTTATTGACAAAAAAGGCAAATCTTAACTAGTACAGAGAGTTTTCTTTTACTCCAATGGTACCTGAATGTGAGGTTTTTTGTTGTTACTGTTGTTGTTATTTTGTTTTTTTTAGCTCTTTCAGATTGTTCTCAAAAGCAGATATTGCAAAACATGGCAAGAAACTTCCAAACTTTTGTTTGTTACATTACTACCTGGCATTTGGCAAAATCTGCAGAAATTCTAAGCGCTTGGAATATTCTATGTTAAAAAAACTTCTTCCAGTTATGCCCCTTTTGCTATGAAAACGCAGTATGTATAAAAGGTACATTTAAATCATTTAAAGTAGACCTTTTTGTGATATTATCTTTATTTATATACTGAATAGTATAGCAGACTATCTAATATCTTGCTCATTTTTTTGTCCAAATCATTGCAAGGTTTATATTTAAATACAAACTTTACAATATTTTACATCAAGCTTTCTTTCTATCATATGAAAATAAAATGTTTAAAAAATGTTGCCTCTTTTTTTCTAAAACAATATAAAAACTTAATTTAGCAGAAAAGAAAAACAAACTTAAACAGAATCAAATAAACAGAATTGTTTACTAATTCACAAATGAAAAAAAAATTTAACACTTTGGAGACACTAATTTTTTTTTTTCACATTTATTTCTTTTTCCGCACCTTTACGTTAATGTGAAATTTCATGCAATGTGACTCTTACAGCAGACTATAATAATTTTATGATACCGTCACAAAACAAAACAATCTAAAGGCTCCATAACTCATGCTTTAAAAAAACTTAATAAAATCAGAGAACGTAAAGTGTTTGAATACCAACATATCAATACTGTTGTTATAACAACACAATAAATGAGCCGTGCTATGACAAAACCAACATAACACGTTTGCGACCAGCATAGATCCAGACCAGCCTGTGCATCTGTGCAGTCTGATCAGGATCCATGCTGTTCACTATCAGTTTCTCTACTTGTTATAGGGTTTGTAAGCAAACAGCATGGATCCTGATCAGACTGTACGGATGTGCAGGCTGGTCTGGATCCATGCTGGTCGCAAACGCATTATGTTGGTTTTGTCATGATGCGGCTCAAATATAAATATACCACATGTCCAGTAATCTACGTTACTATAGTTGTAATTGATCCAAGACTGAAGAAGGTACCTTACTGCAGAAGCATAACAAATTGACATTATCAGATTTTCCTAAAATGATTAAATTTTATCACTTATTTCTGGTCCTTTTGGTGCTTATAATTCATAACTGTAAGTTAAGGTTGTCAATAATATTCTTTGCAGCTGCATTATACCCAGGTGGGTAAAAACAAACTTAAGACAAATAAAAGAAAACATTTTAAAAAATTTTATACCGGAAAAATATAATTTTGTTCAATTATATGCTTAAATATTCATATTCAACCTGACACTTTGAACGCATTCCGAATTTACTATTGTATCATGATTAATACACATTTTATAATTGTGAATTTATTTTTTACCATGTTCAATGCAAGGATTCTGAATTTACTATGTTACCATGTTTAATGAAGTTCAACAATAATCCTGCATTATTATTTTCTATTTTACCTCAGTATTTAGCCAGTTGTAAACAAACCAGAGACACTTTCTTTCAAATGTTGAGGCATTATAAGCAATTTCAATAAATTTCTATTTTTTTGCTTCAGATAAATTCATTTATACCTTATATCATTATATAAATCAAAATTCTACTTTACTTTATTCTCCATAGAGATTTCAATTATTAAAACTTGTAGTAATTTGTATTACATACTTTTTACTTCAAATATTAATTAATAACAGTATCATAATATTATAACTTTTATATTAACTTATATGTAATTAAGTTATATACAATAGATATATTTAAAAAGAAATATCATTTAAAAAATATAATAAATACATGTATATTACCCACAACCAGATTGTTTAAATGCCAAACAAAACCCTTGCACCAAATATTGATGAAGTTAAAAAAAATAATAACAAAAGTCAGCAAAAATGTTAGTAAACAACTTGAGCAATATTAAACATAAAATATACCAGTGGTGAAATATTTGAGCTACAATATTAATTTTCATAATAACTAAAATCTTACAACAAAAATTTGGCATTAGTATGCCTTGTGAAATTTTTACTTGATACTGCATTATTAATTTTATTCCCCAAAAAAAGTCTGTAAAAATTTCATGTTTTATACAAAAGTTCAAATTTTAAGCCAAAAATAAATTCATTTGTACAATAATTATTTTGCTACTGGCATATATATGTTCTAATATTGCTATATAAAACAACAAGAATGCAAAACTTCAAAACTTTTCTATCTAGCCAATCACACTAGAATTATAGCAGAGGCAAAAACAATGAACTCCGGTAATTTTTCTTTTTCTTAGACTTACAAAATTACTCTTTTTACAAATTTTATCAAAAAAATATCAGCTATCACCATAACAACAGGTTGCCATGGATACCCGGATATGATTATTTTGGTTGCTATGGTAAACAAACAAACCTGATGATATAGATGACGCATAACCCGTGTCATTTTGTCGAGATTTATACCCATAAGTGCCGCTACCGCTACGCGAACGAAACGTTGAATTTCCGTTCGGAGATGTCGGTGTTTCGGCGCCACCTAGTGTCTTCCTCAAATCATAATTTGTTCTCCCTCGTGCTGTTTGAAAAAGTTAAAGAAACAAAAAAAAATGTGTGAAGTTAGTGCCCTGTGACCATCCACCAAAAAAAACAGAGAAATGTAACAATTTGAAAAATAGAAGAGACCTTTTGGAAAATTATGATCAGTATATCAAAAAAGGCTAATTTTTCCACCAAATAATATCAATACCAAAACATTCTCCAAATATACAGTTTCTTGTAAAACTGACAGCAATTCTTGTATCATTCTATTCATTTCATAGTTAAAATTTTGATTTCCAAAAGGTCTCTTTACATTTAATGTAATTAATCTATCATAGAATCAAAATTTTGCATTAAGTTACCATTTAGTATAAATGTTGAATCTTTGAACACATTTTCCTTATCTTGGAATGAATTCTCCAGCAACCTTTTAGTAAGCCCTCCTTTCATATATAAAAACAACCAGTTTAGTTTCCCATACTCTGGACCTGGCTTATTTCAACCACAGTTTTATCACTTTACTTTCAGGGGACATGTGAAAAAATCAAGAGAGTAATTCTCCATAGTTTCAGTATTAAGGTGAATGTCAAAAATTAGTATTAATAATAAAGAAGCTCTCTAACTTGATATCTAAATGTCAAAATGATATATATTCATGCTTTTAGCTTTATCACATAATAAAATAGTAACTGTTCATTTTTTGTCTTCATTTACAATAAGGCAATAAAATATTTAGCTTTTTTTTAATCAGTTGTACAGAAGTAAAGTGTAAGCTATTAAAACTGTAGTTGAAATGTCCACCAGCCAATGTCATCAACTCAAAACATCAAAAAGCATCTACAGTTCAAGTTTACAAAACTTGAGTCAGAAAACCAGTCTCACAATTTGATTGGTCGATTCAAAACAAGAATTTGAAATTGACCAATGGTAGACCTGCATTTTGAAGACTGGTCCCCTGATTCAAATTTCAAACATGAGAACCCTAAATGATCAATACCATATTTACATGACAAAAATAAATTTAATTTTTTTTTTCAAATTTCATAAAAAAAATCTTTTTGTGAATATATTTCTTCCAATACTGCTAATTTTAAAGAGTGTAACATAATATTTCAAAATCTGTATTACACATCAGTTTGCTTTGAAGCACATAGTATGCTTTTTAGGTTATAAAGACATAAAGTCAATGAAATAAAAATGAACTTAAATTTTGCCCAATTACCAAAAGCAAACTACAGGAAAGTCATATAAACAAGTATGATCAAACAAATAATGCCTATCATCTATAACATACCACCAAAAAAAATCAGTAGACGATAAAAATAGAAAAATATAAAAAATTCTTTCATTAGGGGAACAAAAAGCATGCAAAAGGCAGGAAAAACTATTCTGTTTCAGCCCAAAAGTTAAACCTAGGCACCTCTGTTTTCTGAAGAAAAAATATATCTTTTTTTGTACTTACTCCCATAAAAATGCTGTTCAAGAACATTATTTAATGCCCTTATATTGCTAACCCTTTTTTCTATTGCTACAAAACAATAATTATGAGTTAATTATTATAAAGTTTAACTGATTGAAGGCAAGTACATAGTGGTTTTCTTGAAATTAATAAACTATATCAAAGTTCAGTCTCAAACATATTGTAAGAAGAAAAGTGTTACTAAAAAATGTATCTCAACTTTATGTATAATATTATCAATATTTTCTTTCCATCAGTCCAAAGTTGGTAAGATTTAAGTTTTATGTTGTTGTTTTTAGACAAAAGACAAAGCTGTCAAAGAATTCAACTGGCCTTTTCATCTGAAGTCCATGGTCATGACTTGTCCTTTTGATTGAAACAGCAACATTAGCTCTCATTTCAATTAAATTCAAACTATTTCCTTAGGAACCATCCCCCCATACACACCTCAAATAACTGTTTTACTTAAGTTCCCTCTTCATAAATGTGTTATGCACATTACAATTATTTTTGTCTTCAAGTTCCCTTTACTAAATTGTTATTAATATTCTGACCAAAGTTCCTTTACTTTCACCTTATATTTACACAGCAAATAACATATTTCGTACATAACTTGTTTAATACATTTGTAACATATAAACACTATTAAAATCAAGTGCTATCAAGGGAGACAACTTACCTCTACAAGGGTCGTTAGTTTCTAAAAATTCATCTAGAGTTATCCATCCTCCTCCTACTCGAACCATAACGCAGCTGTTTAAAAACCGTACTAATCTTATCGTACTTTTTTCTCCAAACTAAAAATAATACAAGTTGTGCATTAGCTTTTTGTTTAATGATAATAATTTTAGATGTTATTCAATAAAAAGTCAATTAACAAAAAGATAGGCTTTTGGACAATTTAAATCTGAAGACCACCTCTTTCTTTATGTCATAATTGCAAAACTTGTTTCAAGAAAAATGTCACTGCTTCCCTTAAACAGCTGTTCAAATCTGTGGCTGAATATAATATGTATTTTTAAACACAAGCTTGTTCTTGCTTCATGTTGCTCTATGCAAATTTATAAAAGACTGCAAAGAGTAAGCTTCCTAGAATAAATCAGTACTGATGTCTGTCATATGAGAAAATACAGCTCAATCAAGACTGAAATCCATTTTTGTTACTCTGATTTATACGCCAGCCACCCTAATGAGTTAAGCTGATGGACAGAATCCCTAATACCTGGTTTGAGATGCAGACACCTTTACCACTAGGCATCTCTTTACGATGTCTTAAATAATTAACCTAATAAGTACAAAGCCAAGATTTGAATGATAACATACAAAATAGCCGGAACAAGTTATACCCGACATATAAATCTGTTACAATGCAATGGCATGGGGTATATATGACTTTGATATGAAAGTATGAAAGTTCTTACCCTATATTTACATTCATCTACCATCTCGACACGTAGGGGACTTCTACATGTACATAATGCCACTTCTCTGTCTATCTCATCATGTATAAGCTCTGTGTCTGACATCATTTTATTGCCACCTTTTAATCTTTCCTTTTGCTGTAAGAAAAGAATTAATAATTTTTGCTTCAGCATTTTTTTTTTATTTTGTCTTGAATATTGGTGTAAGAAAAGAAAACATTTTTACTTCAGCGTTGTTTTTTCATTTTGACTTCAAAAGTTTATGGATAAACTTCAGGGTTTGGTGGGGTTGAAAAGGGGATAAAATCCTAATAAAAACATGTTACAAGACTGTTTTCATCCAATCTATGGCTATTATGCTACAAGAAAATAAGTTAGATGTGCTCCTCTGTCAATTAACCAGAAAAGTTTGGTGAATGATATTTCTAAAACATGTTGCATAAATATCAGGAACTTAAATCAGTTGTTAGATTGTAAAATTCAACAACTCGATGCTGTTTAATCGGATTTGAAAACCTAGCAAATGTGGTAAATGTACTTTAGAAATAAATTATCTGTATGAAGTTAAAAGTATTAAGGAACTTACATGTCTTTTAGGTTTCATGGCCTCTATAAATTCCTGGTATTCTATAAAATCTCGGTTTTCTCTATCAAACAAATCAAACACAGCATTCATTTCTGTCTTATTTGTTTTAAAACCTGAAATAAACACAATTATACAAGTCAATGATTTCTTTTCCTGTTCGGGTTTTAAAGGAACTCCACTCTGGTTCAAAAGCCTAAAACTTTATAATCTAAATTTCTTACATAGATGAAAGGGGGACATTTAAAACAGAAAGACATGCACTAGATAATTAAGAAGTGTACTCGAAAAATAATGAAAATAAATTTTTTGAGCTTTTCTTGGAGTGAAAATTTCAATTTCGGATAATTTTTCACAATTGGAATCATTATTCTCAAAAAACAGTGTAAGTGAATGATATAAAACTTTTCACACACATTAAAGTCAGCTGAATATACTCATATCAACTGAAACTTTCAATTAAATATCTGACGATTTAAATATAATATGACAATTATATATTCTACATAAAATTTGCAAAAATTAAACCTGTACATATTCTTACCTGAATGTAACATTCCGTTTACAAACTCATCTCGTGACAAGAAACCATCGCCATCTTTATCCTGCCGTCTAAAGAAATCCGTTATTCTCATTTTCTTTGTTTGTAACCATTTTAAATAACGTGCTTTCCACAATTCAAAGTCAAAGTTTTTAATACTCTCTATTTCCATCAATGTATCTAAAGCATCCTCTAATTTCTTTTTTCTATCCACGCTCGTTCTCCATACAGTTCTCCACCGATTTTGTAACGCTATAACTCGTGGATTATGTCCGTCGATTTCATTTAATCTTGAATGACTGAAATTATATAGAACAGATTTTTAAATTCATATATAAATAGTAGCAATATCAAAATTTACCAAGATAAGAAATTTTGCACTGTCATTTGGATGGAATTCATTTTAAATCAGTCATTTGGATGGACTTCATTTTAAATCAATTCTTGATATCAACATGTTATAGTTTTGTCCCATTATGCATGTTCTGTTGCTGTTGTTGTTATTTTCTTTTCAGAAGGCCATATTGGAAATAAAATATGTATGATTGCTGTTGTATAGTCTTAATTTGTTACCTTCTCTTAATAAATATATTTTTATTATTTTCACTTTTATCCGATTAGTCTTAAATAAGTTCTTTGAATATCAAGCGATGATCATAATGCTTCGCAATCTGACCAGGTACGTTATACTCAATTCTAGCTAACAGATTTTGAAATCATTTCTGAGCAGCAAAGGGAAGTACCTAATTCAAAGCAATGCAAATCCAATATGCAAACTCGGCATTGTTAGTGTTAGGACATACATTAGAAATACAAATGTCCGAGCATTAATTGCTTCAGCAAGTCAAAGGCAAATTTCTACACTTTTCAGATCCGTAAGTCTTATAGATACAGAAATACAGAATATTGAAATATCTACAGTTTCCACCACATTAATGAGACCTACCAACTTCTTGTTTAACCGATCATCCAAAGTCCTTGATTGGTTGATTTTCAAACTTACTGGTAAACAAAAAACCTTATCCAATTTCAAATTTAAGACTATTTCATGAAATTTTATATTTAGACAGAAACAATTAATTTCGTTTCAGTCTGCATTAAGATGGTTTCAACTACCTGCACAATTTTATTAATTAACTAACCTTCCAAAATTTCTAGGTCCACCGGGCGATTTTGGATCGTGTTGTAAAATTTTAGTTAATCTTTCCACATCTGCATTCTTACTGTTAATTTCTTCGTGAAATTCCTGAAATTGTATTGTACATTGTAACACTTATTCTAATAGAAATGAATGATGATTATGATGTCCATTTATAGTGTTTGTATGTGCGAATGGCATGGCCGACTTATGATTTTAAACAACTTTACAATTTACTTTCATTACATTTTACAATCATCTTAATGAAACAAGTCTAATTGACTGTACACTATTTTGTAACAATTACTAATTCAAATACAACTTAATTGTTTGTGAAATATTCAAAACATACAAATAGTCAGTGTTTAACCAGTATATGAACCTAAACATCAAGCTGAAGTTTACATTTACCTTTGTTTGTCAAATTCTTATTTCTTTATTTTTGGTTGGGTTTTACATCACACCAACACAGTATAGGTCACATGGTGACTTTCCATCTTTACTGGTGGAGGAAGACCTTCCATGCACAAACATTTCAAGCACAAACGGGCACCTGAGTAGAACCACAGATGTTCTGTTAGCTTGAAGTCCCTGTTTGGATTCAAACCTACAGCAGGAAGGAGCAAACAGTCTGAAGTCAACAATCTTAACCACTCAGCCACTGGCGCCCTTGTCCAATTTCTTTGACTCATACTTCATACAGATTATATTCATATAGATTTTGTGAGCATTCTTGTAGAGCTTATTTATATAAATGCAATTGTTTTAAAATATTTAAGAATACTTACTGCATGTTCTTTACATAGTGTATCAACAACCCCTACATCATCTGGAACAGGATCTTTCTCTTTGGTAGATAATAGCACCTGTACAACATGACAAATATTAGAAATATGTTCTAGACAGTTCTTATAAGAGCACCCAGCAATGACTTAATAAATTTTACACTTAATACACAAGAAGGAATTTTTTTAATGTTGCATCCTGTGAACGTTGCCTTTGCCTTGTTGATCTTTATTCTTGTTTTTTTTAGTAGGAAATGCTAAACATTTTTTGGTTGTTGGGCTGGAGTTTGGACATGGGCTGTACCATTGTGAATTTCCTATTTTTATCTAGTAAATGAAGGCATAATGCACCATTATAAACCTTTCGAGTGCAACATCTATAACAAAAGACCCAAGCCAACATTGTCACAACTGCGTCGTTGGTGGGTCATAATTTAGTTTTTCCATACTTTAAAATCCTTCAATGTTCAAAACCTGTCCATTTCAATAACACTGAAGCATAACCGGCACCTGAGTAGAACCACCAACATTCCGTTAGCTAGCTAGGTAGATTTCTTACATGGAATAATCCAATGACACTTGCATGGCTTAATGTACTTAATCACACAGCCACAGACACCTCATGGAGCATAACATGCCAAACAGTTACATGCCAAAAAAAAGAAAGAAATATAAATAAATAAACATTCACAAACCTGAGCATCTGTCAACCATGACAATAGCTCCTCCACCAAAGCTGCGTTACCTTGTATGGCACGTAAGGCGTCCTGTAATCTGTGTTCTCTAGATTTAGCACGTTGTAATAACTGTTAATATAAAACATACCCAATATGACTTTTTTTTTTCATTCTTTTGGTCGATGAGATACATTACTCTTAATTAATATCTAACCTACTGCAAACAAGTGATCAGCCTTTGCTGCAAATATAGAGCTAGGCCAGTCTTCATATCTTTGCAGTGTGACCAGTCTTTAAACTGTTTGTTGGACATTTTTAATTATATTCTTACACACATCAGATGGAATATTCCACATTCACAGCAGGAAAAATTCATTACATACCTCAGCAGTTTAAAAGTTAATACCCATCTTAACCCTTTACAATGAAGCTCCCTTTATTTTATAGTTAATCAATTATAACTATAGAAATGTTTGTTGGTTTGGTTTTGTGTCACACCAACACAGGCGACATTCCAGCTTTATTGGTAGAAGAAGACCTCAATTGTCTTTCTGTGCATTATTTTAGGCACAAACGGGAACCCGAGGAGAACCAACAACGTTTTGTAAGCTAGCTGTATAGCTTTCTCACATGAATGAATCCAAAGTTCCTGTCAGGATTCAAACCCACAATTTCACAATGGTGAGGGGCAAAGGGTTTGAAGTCAAAATAAACCACTCGGACACAGACGCTCTAAAAAGAATGTTGAAGATCCTTATTATTCACTATACAACAATGATAACTCGAATGACTAGCAAGTTTACCTGATCCCATCTCGTCTGTGTAATGGTTAGGTAATATTTGACAAATCTAATGGCATTTGGGTGACAGTTGAGCAAGATTTCCTCGGCTAACAATTTGATCTTATCTACTCCTTCCTGATGATCCCGTAACTCTGCTTGGAATTTCTGCAATTATATAATATCATGGTATTTTTTACTTTTATAATGTTTGTGTTTTTAAGTTACGTCAAGACAATAACATTCCTATAGCACCATCCCAGCTTTACTGGTTGAGGAAGACTACCTCTTGCTAAAGAAGCGCCAAACTATTTTTTATACTATGTCTATAATAATCTCTGCTTGATTTCTTATGTTGAAACTGGTCTGAATGTCTTGCTGTATGCTTGATTGATTTTTAGAATGGTTTTGTTTGGTTTTGGTCAATTTAGTTAATTATTTACCTGTTATATATATTACATTAACCAATATAACATAACATAAAACATAACCATTACATTTATTCAGCATTAAATGTTACCAAAATATCACTATTTAAAGCCATTTCAATATAATACAAACATTAACCAAAATATCACTATCAAATCACTGTTTACTAACTAGCAAAGGTTAAGCATGAACTTGGTTTATTGACAAATAACATTTCCTTGATTAAAAATCATACCAAAAACTGCGTAATTATCTTCCTTGTAAAACCTCTGATATACCTTAATGAATCATACTCTAATACCTGTTTTTCCCCTGCCCTTCTTACATAAAATACAAAGACAACCTTTAATCAGTTAATAAACAATCCATGTTTTGCAAAAAATTAAAAATTTACAGCCAAAATATAAAGGTTAACTATGTATTTAGTTAGAGCAAAACATTTCTCATAAACTAATAAATGTCATAAATTCATTCAATTGAGAATTCCTTACTGATCAAACTATTAATTTTATTCTAGATTAAAAAAACCCTCTTATAACAAGTCATAATTTCATAATTAAAACCAAAAAGGTCTTAACTTAGACCAAAGCATCCATAACTAAACATTTAGGACACTTATAAGTTATAAGTTTATTGACCTACTTCACCCATTCCCTCTACTACTCTCAGTGTTTGACAATAAGAAAAGGGGCATAACTTTGTTAGAAGGTAACTCAAGAGTTATGGGATATGTGAAGATCCTGTTAGATAATCACAGGCAACCTGTATGTAAGGAAGATTAAACTAATTCCCTTTCACAGATTTCTTTTGCAGAGAACAATGTTACAGTGATGTCAGGGTAATAACAATAGCTTTCCAATCAAGCTACAAATCAAATACTGACTATATGTGCTTAAGTCTTAAAACGTTGCTTTACCTCATGTTTTTCTATAAGTTGTATTATAGCAACTTCATCTTCTGGCAAAGATTTGAACTTAAGTTCAGCCTCGGCCTGAGGTAAAAATTCCCTCATAACTTGTACAACTCCCTGGAACTCTTCAGCCTGTGGAAATACAAAAGTAAAAACATTCAAAACTAGTTTGACACAACCCCTATCATTGACTAGGAGCAGCTCCTGTGGAAATACAAAAGAAAAACATTCAAAACTAGTTTGAGACAACCCCAATCATTGACTAGCAGGGCTTGGAACTCTCCAGCCAAAGGAAAAACATTCAAAACTAGTTTGAGACAACCCCAATCATTGACTAGCAGGGCTTGGAACTCTCCAGCCAAAGGAAAAACATTCAAAACTAGTTTGAGACAACCCCCATCATTGACTAGCAGATGGCTATCTTTAGTGCATTGCATGGTGGGAAATTCATTCTAAAACATTTTTTTTTGAATGAATAAAGTAACATATTTAAACTCTCAACCTTACAGGAAACAGATTTGAATAAGCCTTTTTAAATCAGTTTTGAAAGGGATAGGACTTCCTCTTTTTGCAAAATAATCTTTATGTCAAGTAGCTATGTTGAAAGCCTGTGATAAAGAACAATGACTAGACAGAAAATTAAATAACACTTTTCAATATGATAACTATTAAATATCATACTGTTCATGTCAAATTTGAGTAACAAGGACTTTTTTTAAAAATACTGGATTATTAAAAGAGATTAGAAATATGTATCAGACTAGTCATTCTATTATGAGAAGGAGTTTTTCTCTATCACAGGGATAGTGTACAGCTTGATAGTAAAACAAGGATAATGGATAATGTAGATAATGTAGAATTTCAAAAAAAAAAGTTCAGAAAGGGCCATAATTTTGTCAAAATCCATGTTTAACTTATGGGCTTTGGGCAGTGACCTCCTCTTATGCTCCCAAATAAGTGTATGAGGTTTCAACACATTCCCTTTAGTAGTTTAGATAATACCAACATGCACTCAGAAACTTAACCAAGTGTGACACCGACACCTTGGCAAAAGCTCTCCTTATTCTTCACATAGCTGAAAATGCAATAAAAACTAGAGGATGCTTTTGTAAAAAAGCGCATGTCTCCCCCACTGCACTGTGACCTTGACCTTTGACCTACTGACCCCAAAAACAATAGGGATCATCTGCTCTATAAGACCAATCATCCTATGAAGTTTGAGGGCTGTAGGTCAAAAGGAACTCTAGTTATCATCCGGAAACGAGAAATTGACCAACGGTCACTGTGACCTTGACCTTTGACCTACTGACCCCAAAAACAATAGGGATCATCTGCTCTATAAGACCAATCATCCTATGAAGTTTGAGGGCTGTAGGTCAAAAGGAACTCTAGTTATCATCCGGAAACGAGAAATTGACCAACGGTCACTGTGACCTTGACCTTTGACCTACTGACCCCAAAAACAATAGGGATCATCAGCTCTATAAGACCAATCATCCTATGAAGTTTGAGGGCTGTAGGTCAAAAGGAACTCTAGTTATCGTCCGGAAACGAAGAATGGACGGACGGACGGACTGACGGACTGACGGACGGACTGACGGACGGACGGACTGACGGACGGACGGACAGGGCAAAAACAATATGTCTCCCCCCGAGGTGGGGGAGACATAATAAACTAAAGGCTCTCCCTATTATTCATATGGTTCAGCTAAAAATGCAACAAAAAGGGACAATTCATACCAGTTGTAATGACTCCTTCAGCTTTGCCTCTCTCACTTCACTCAACATGTTCACAGACTCCCACAGACTGTTCAACTCTTCCATCTGTATTGGAGGCAAGTTACCCGAGGCTTTCATTGCTGCGACCGTCTGCTCCCGGGCGGATAACTCTTGCTGTAGTGCCTGAAATGAAACAAATATAGAACAATGTTACTGAATGTGCTTTGTAACGATTTTAGATGATGTCAGAGAAACAATAAATGGTTAAATTGCATGTAAGTTGATGTTAGACTGAACAAAATTTGCTACTAAGATGAAAATAATGCTTCAAGTATAGGCCGTCAATCTAGGGATTATAAATAACATCCAAAATATAACTAATGTGCAACATTGTGAGAACAAAAATGATAAATAAACACTATCTAAGGCATGTCAACTAATAATTAGGTTTATGTTTCATTCATTAAATGAACAAACTAAAATACCTAGTTCATTAAATTATATACCTTTGATTTACTAACTATATGTATAGAAAAATCACTTGAAATGATTTTTTTCAAAAATAAATCATAAGTAGCTCATAAAATATTGAAAAAGATGCATGCAAAGATTTTCTCAATGACACAAGTCAAATCCTGACAGGACAACATTTTATTTCTTAAAATAGAACTACAACATCAAATTCTCACTTCAAAATTAGTATTTTTGACAAGTTACATTTATTTTGCTAGTTTAAACATATCTATCTTAAGCTCAATTGCAAAACAACTGTCCTTGCAACTTATATAAATCACTTTCGAGTCTGTTTCCTGGAACCAACCAGAACTGGTGTCATATGAAGGGACATGGTCATCACCAGAGTAGGGCTCGAACCCATGTTCCTTGGGTTGAGAGGTTGAGAGGCAGACACCTTAATCACAAGGCCACCGCTCCCCTTAATTAATTTTGCTCCTTTAGTGTTTACAATTCTGATCTTCTAGACTTAAAGCTCCATAAATGTCTTTTTAGTGAATGTTTTCCAGAAAATTTTCATTTTTAAACATTGAACACATAAAAGAGTAGACACAAATTGTCCATTTCAAGCGTTCCTGTAGACTTTACAGTGAGTGCCCCCATAAGATTGGAGCATTTAAAACCATTTTTGGGATGGGCTGACCCACAATTTGAATAGCAAGTTATTAAAATTTATTAAATGGTAATAAAGTAACCCTATAATACTAACTAAATGCATATTTATTCTAACTAGATTATTTCATTACTTTAAAGCTGAACTGATAAAAATTCATGCTGCCAAAATAAATGGTGCAAAAAACCCACCTTATTACTACAGCTCTACCTATGTATACACAATTCCAATCCATGAATAATCTTTAAAATAACTAACTTAACTCACATCTTTTATGCCAAAATTGCCATAAAAAATTATCAAATGGCTAAAGCAAAAAAATAAATTGTCCCAAAAATTGTGCATTAAAAATTTATATACTAAAACGTTCCCTAAGAGAATGCTCTTAAATGCAACATAACATAAAAACATGGAGTGTAACTATGCATTGACTATATATATATGAGCCACATCCGCACAGTCTGATCAGGATCCATGCTGTTCGCTATCAGTTTCTCTACTTGTAATAGGGTTTGTAAGCGAACAGCATGGATCCTGATCAGACTGCCCTCAGATGCGCAGGCTGGTCTGGATCCATGCTGGTCGCAAACCCATTATGTTAGTTTTGTCATGATGCGGCTCATATTTTTTTTATAACAAAACAAAGCCTTCAACGTCCATACGAGACCACAGCAACTGTTTTATCTAACCACATAACTGTATTGTAAGCAACATCAAGTTTTCTATAATGATTCTCCCTCTATTTCGTACCTCTACATTCCGATGACTTTCCATTATCCTAGCTGTAATCTCCTTTGTTTTAGAATAAAAATGAAAATTTTTTTTACCATCTTCAAATTTTTCAATTAAAGTTTCTTTAAAAATTCAAAAGGATGTACATTTTCATTGTCATGTAGCAGCATTTCTAGCTAATGAATGATGGCAGGAAACTTAATTTTATATTATATTCAACCGTGCATTATTAAGCTGCGGAGGTGTTAATTGTTAGCATACTGGACAGGCAGTCAAAAGACCCAATGGTTCGAATCCCAGCTGCATCAGGCTTTTTTTTTCGAGTAACTTTTCTTAGTATAATTTCCTGTTCATGACCTCTTCTCCCTTCATATAAATATATATCAGGCACAAATGGGAAATCATGGGAAGAACCTTATGACCTTTTCATTTTTCTATTAGCTAGATAAATATCATAGCAAAATTTGAATTTTTATATATGTGTAGGAAAGAGATATAAGTCCAGGCTGCCAGTGGTCACAAAGGTCCATCCCAGTCTCGAGATAAATAAATGATATAAGTTATAGTGTGTTACATTGTCCAGCTTGAATATTTGACATAATTATGGTTCATTTATGATACCAGTAAATAAATACTTCTTACCAATGTAAAAATGTCAACAATATATAAATAACATTGTTTATTCATTGATGAATAATGTGCACAACATATATAAATCATGTGGGTTTTTTTATTACATAATAAAACACTGAATTATGCAAAGTCCACATAAATAAACAATAACATTTTCTCTCCATTTGTTTATAACAATGACCCCTTAAATCAATATCATTCTGTCACTTATAATATGAAATACTTGTTTACAAAGTGTATATGTGATCAGACTACCACATAGAAAATGAAGCTAAAATGATAACATTGTCATTTCAAAGGGCAAAATTATGAGTCAACACAAAGGGAACATTTCTTTACAAAACAAAAAAATTTACAAATCTGTTAAAACTTATCAATCTATCTTATTGAAAAATTCTCCAGTACATGTTCAAGATCTCACATGATTAGCTTAGATACTTAAACATTTGATTGATTACAAATTTAAAATCATTATCATTGGCTTTCAGATCAATGCTAAAATTTGATTGGTTGATTTTCAAATTTAAAAATTCAAACGAGCCAATCAGAAAGAAGAGATTGTCTAATATCCAATAAACTTACCTTATGTTGCTCAATCAGCATACTGACAGTGTCAAGGTCACCTAGGATGGGCTGGTCCTCTCCGAGGCTGGACTGTACCTTGCCTAGCCATTCCAGCATCGAGCTCAGGGCGTCGGCAACTCGCCCAGAGGTCAACAAGGCCTCGTCCAGTTTGTTTTGACTGAAAATAGACAATTACGACTTTTTATTATCAATAAATATGTACAAAATACTGGACAAGTGATGACCTTTAAAAACATAGCTCACTGTGTCAAAGCTTACAGAAAGTAATGTTCTGATTTTGTAAGAAATAATGTTTTGCAACAAAATTTTTTTGTTCTTCTTGAGAATATCTTTTCTTGCCAAACAGTGCTTGACAAATGGAAAGAGATCAAGCAAACTTAAACATACAGTGGGACATAATATAATTATCACTTTATAAAGCTTGCAGCTTCATTGTATGACTGTTACAATGGTCGTAGACAATTCCCTTTTATTCATAAACAAAAAAATATAAATTCATTTATCTTGCAATCTGAGTTGAAGCAACAAATCTGAGATTTTTTGTGCGAAATTAATTGTTCATGCACTCTTTTATTAACACATGAAATTTAACTTCATTTTCCCTGCCATTTCATATAACATTCTCAAAACTGTATGATGATGATCACAGTCTTTTAACATTTTAAGATGACCACAATGACGTTAGTAACGATACCATAGTATGCCCTATATAGTTTACACCAGCGGTTATATTTGTATTTGAGTTAAACATATATGTAAATTCTATGACATCGTGCCAAGTTTAAAAGCCCTATTTTAACAACTTTTATCGCCTGAAAAGCAAATACAAAATGCAAATTAGTGAACAAAATTGGTAGATAGTGAAAGTCGAGCTTTTCCCCATTCATATTATGATAAAAACCTTTGGTCCACTGTTACTATCTGGGTTTTATTTGGTCAGAAAGTGACCTGTAATGTCAAACCATAGTCTAAATAAATATGTAAATAGTTCAATTGCCTACTTCTCAAACACTGTGGCCCGTCTAAAAAGATTAAAAGAATTTAGGTCAACCGATGATGTTACCATAAGCGCATGGAATATAATAAACTCTCCACAGAGTAATGGACAGTATTGAAATGTGTTCAGTACATGCAATATGTTGATAATTTTATATGAAATCTTATTTTGTGGATGTCCATTGCTACATGTAGTTCTAGGGATATCTATATAAAATTGGTAATTTAAAAGTGAACAATCTTGTGCCTGGTAAAACAGCCACTTATAATGCATGACTGATAAATGCTTATATAATGATTAAATTTAAAGGCAAAATCAGATTATTAGCATGAAGTTATATATTTGGCTATATTAAATGCTTGAAATCCAGTAAATCTCCTCAAATTACCAGTATATAATTATTTATTCACATTAAGCACTACTTTTATTTTTTTTGTTAACAAGTATCTAGCATTACATTGCTCAAAAACATTTTTTAAATGTCATAAATTTCATGTTTGCCCCTTTTTTTAAAGAAGTAACAACATATTCTTTTCTGAATCTGAGGTACATGTATATTTGCCATTAAATTTGTATAAATAAAGTCTATAATTATATGAATATTTAAATTACTGTCACACTGGTTTCCATACAATTCATTTTAAACTTATCATTATATCATATCATTTATCAAAATATTAGTCTGGCAATGTATCAACTGACCTAATTTTTTTCTCCCTCTACAAATTCGATTTTTTTTTCACTAAAAATAATCGTTAAAATAGATCAATCAAAAATTTAAATATCACTATCTGTGACCTTATACCAGACATTAAATCCCACTTCATTCTGAGATCCTTTATTTACATAAAATATCAAAATCTCTTTAAATAAACTATATATAGCAAAAATAAAATTTTAGTGTAATCTTTATACGGTTATATGGCTTTAATTGAAAGGAAAAATCTAACGTGTTTGTTTACATACGGGCTTCCAGAGAACAAAATTTAAAGTGAAATTGTAACACTTCCAGATTGACTTATCATTTATTAAAATTGGGAAGATTTGGCTGGGTTTCAATAATTGGTTGATTCCTTTTGAATATTTTGCTCTTCTTACTTCATTTTATATTCACAATGAAGACAGAGACTCTATGTATAAAGTATGGAATTCTCAGAACAAATGCATATAGCTATATATTAAATACATGTACTTGATAACTATAATGTTTTGGACATTGGAAACAAGAATATTGGATGTCATCTCAACATCTAAGACAAGCAGAAAACAGCCTTATTTTCAGTCCAGTTTACCTGACCTTGACCCTGATTAACTAACTTTAAAGTTTGTAAAAATATTAAACTAAATCATATTTTAGAAACCATGGCAACCAGGGGTCTGTCAGACTTAAACAATGAACTCCAACATCAGACAATATTATATCTGCACACCCAAAACATCGGCCAATTTCAAACAATAGAGAAAATTCAGACTCGGTGAGCTTTCTTAATATAGCTTAAAATCTACAAAATCCATATCATCTGCATTACTTCTTCACTTAATATTTACATAAGGCAGGCAGGTGTTCCTAACTTCCACTGATAGAGTCAATATTTTCACAAGTATAATATTAAGATCAAAACTTATATTTCTTATTGGTGCACACCAAAAAAGAAGCTAAACCACTTAATGGATCTGATAGAGAAGTTTATAATCTATTTTACAAAAAAAAGAAAATACTTCCATAAATATTTTGACAACATTAAATCATTGATATACTTATTTAAATACTTAATGGAAACAATTCAAGGACATTTTCACAACATATAAGAGGTTGTGTTTCTCTGCTATAAACCACAGCTTGCTTGTATTTTAAGCTAACATTATTTTAAACAAATCAACTTTTCTTTGGTAAGATCTCTTACAAGTTACAATTATCAATTTTTGTTGACATAACATTAGATAATTATATGTGGTGGTACTGGCCTCTTTAATATGGCTTTTTGTGATTCTAATAACAAAACATATATTCAAGCCCCTAGATAATGTGGCATGGCTTGGACCTGCATGTCAATCCTATTTCTTATTTTTCTAAACTAAAATGTAAGAATAAAAACTTATTTTTGTGAAACCATCTTACAAATTTCTTTCCGAAAAATACCTTTTTTGGAAAACAAGTAGACCACTAACTTGCATACCATTTTTCTTGCAATGAATTTTAATGCAAAAAAAAAGTCATGGATCCTTAATTTACAAGCAAAACTGAATGGTACATAGCTAGAATGTAACAATATATTATTATAGTAAGGGAGCCTTTAAAAAACCTTGTTCAAATATCTACATCTCCGAAGCAATTAAAACAACCAAATAAATGAACATTGCAGACTCAGTTGTATGTTCAGGAGGGATAATGGAAAAGTGCAACATTCCTCAAAAATATAACAATACTGAAGTGAAGTAGGGGGCAACTTTTTACAGCTGCAACACTGCACAAGAAAATTGCAGACTGCAGTTTGATCGAGTCTGTACATGAGGGATAATGAAAATTATGCAACATCTCTCACTTCTTTATATATTCAGCAAAAATGTAACAAAATAAAACCATTTAAGGAATATTATAAAACATCAAGTTTTTTTTAGACTAAACAAGAAATGAAAATGCATAATTATACTTTTATAGATAAATTTGATGATTTTTTTGCCTGCCATGAAGATTATAAAGTTATGATTTTATATACACATATTTACAATTTGTATGCTTTTTATCTTGCTCCCATTTTTAACTATATCAATAACTTATAGATAGATGAAAAATTTCAGCTGATTTCCAGAGCATGAAAATAATCTGATTTTAAATGGCAAACATTTATTTCTCAGGATAGAAATTTGCCTAAAATACAAATAAATTACATTTTAGTCAGAAAGAAGGATATGTTATACAATTCATTTTAAAGATTCACTGATGCATGGCCATTATTTGTATGGTTCAATTCAACAGGCATAATGACATTTTCATAATTTTGGGACATTTAAAATTGTAGTCAATATAATTATATTCATGGTTTTTGATTAAATAACTTGATTTTTTCCATTTTTCACTAAAAAATCTAATCAAACATTCACATTTTTTTCCTCTCATCATATATTATAAACTTCAGAACAATCTTTTGATCTCTGCTTCAGAAAAACAGTGTTTCATTTTATTTCACAAATAGTTTGAAACAACCCCCAATCTATATAATACATCGTAAATTAAGTTGGAAGATAAAATCTAATCTAGGCTAGATCTGTAATTAAGAATCTGTCTATTGTAAGTCATTGCTATTTTTTATTGTATCCCAATCTATATGGAGTGTTTGTAGCTGGTCAATATCGGTTTGTCTTGAAAGTAATTAATATGTCAACCATCTAACAAAGCTACAGTCATTATTTTTTTCATTTATCCAGAAGTTCATTACATTAGGCAAAAAAATACATGTTATTTTTTTGTCATTAATTTTATTCTAGAAAGGCATGCATACTTTGATACTGAAAGAAGAGAATATGAAAATATTGTTCATATTAAAAAAATATGACAAACAAGATTAACAAGGAAAGGAGGCGTTCGATGAACGCAACCCCCGACCGACAAATTGATTTACAATTATTTTTTACATGGCTTAAAAAATGTTTGCAGAATGAAATCAAAGTGTTGAGTCTTTAATATACTATAAGGTCCCTATGTAAATTATCATTTAAACATAGATTTTTTTATCAAGAATGTACATCAACACACTATCCCTAAAATTACAAACAATACAAGTATACCCAAATCCCAAAAACACCACATTGAATGTATTATATCATTTAAGCAAAAAAATTGGTTCAACAAGACTTATCACAAAATACAACATCTGTTCAGAAGGCATTCACAAATTTTAATACCATGTCCAAATTGGTAAACTGTGAGTTTGAAACAATAAGTTATTTTGGATACATCTGCCAAGGGTTTTTAAAAGCTCTACAATTCATTTCTTTTTCTCTCAATCACATAAGGATAACAGGGTGGTGAAAAACTGGATGGACCATTTTCTAGTAACAATGGGAAACAAGAGCACCGCTAGGCGGAGCATTATATGCCCGAAAGTGATTTATTTTTTTTTAGTAAAGATGAAGAATTTGTAAGACATGGGAATTAAATA